CATAACCACACATCCCTGAAGCACAGCACATGACACTCGCGCTGAAGGAGCGAAATTGTTCGGAAAGAATCGATCATGTCGACGCAGCTGAAAGGAGCCAAGAGCATCCTGCTTCTTCATGGGCCCAACCTGAATCTATTGGGCTTCAGAGGTGCGTTCTCGTCGCTGATGAGTCGCGAGTGTGCCCAAAGAATTTACTCGACCTCGACCTCCCCCTCGCCAACGGCACATGACCAGAACCTGACAAGTGAGTGCTACGCGTGTCGACCTCCTCGAGCACCTCGTCCTGGTCTCTGGGCCTACCTACTGCATGCCTATCGATGCTTACTGCTGCCTGTCAATGAACAGATATGGCACCGAGACGCTCTCAGACATTGTAAACCGCGCTCAAGCTCAAGCATCTTCCTACGGCATCAAGCTAGAAGCGTTGCAGACGAATCACGAAGGCGTCTTGTTGGATCGCATACACGCGGCCAGGACGGATGGGACAGAAGCGAGTAAGTCTTGGCGCCGCCCCTCCAAAACCCATTCCGCACGATCAAGCCCCAGCACTTATGCTTCTGATCCATGTCATTGCTGCTCATCTTCGCAAGTCGTCATCAATGCGGGAGCATGGACGCATACGAGCGTGGCGATCCGCGACGCATTACTAGGTATCGACTGTCCCTTTGTCGAGCTTCACGTGCGTAGCCTTTCCCTCACTCCTCGAGGAACAGCTCATCTCGCTCGCTTTCCCTCCTGCTCACGCTCCCGCTGGCACGCACGGCTTTATTTTCCAGATATCCAACACGCACGCCCGAGAATCTTTCAGGCATCACAGTTACCTCAGCGACAAAGCCAGCGCCGTGATTCTAGGCATGGGGACATTGTACGTTCTCTGCTACCTTTGCATCTCGATACGACAAAAAGCGCAAAGCGTTAACCCCTCCCTCTCCACTTCACATCTTCCTCGTCCGCGCGCACAGTGGATACACGGCAGCTATCGAGCATTGCGCTCGCAACCTCAGAAAGGGAGGTCTTTCCAAATAAAACATCGACTTGTAGATCTCAGGCACCTACATGATGGGCAAAACGCTATCAGAGCGTAGGCGACGCATCACGATTCCCAAAAGCGTCCCAAATCACGTAGCGAAGTAGCAATGGAAAATTTCCCATCACTATGAGAATTCCGCACGTCGAGAGCGAGCGCAAGAGCCGTCTGGGAGAGAGAGCAAAGATTTTACACATGGGATGACAAAAGGGGGGGGG